AGGGGCATTGCTGGCACATGATGGCATATATCACATTGGTAGATGTGCAGGTGAACGAGCCCCTGATGGTATGGCTGATGTGATTAGGTCCTATGATGATGTCACTTGAATAGATATGTGGACAGAGTTGGCCTCAGAGGATTGATTTTTACTCAAGAGCTTGGTGTTAAAGTAATTGGCCAGGCTTAAGGAAGCGGAAAGTTATGGGGATCAGCAGATCTTTAGACAGAAGTTATGTTGCATTTTTTCATCTCCACTACAGGTCCGCTGTAGGTCAGACCTCCTAAACAAGTTGCTTGTTTTATTCTCTGCTCCCAATAATTTACAGGCGGCCTCAGGAGTGCTCATCTGTTTGAAACAAGTGAATGAATTGTTTCCCCCGAAGAGGAGTGGGGACAAAGACAGATTGTAGAATCTGATTTTGTGGCCCATCAGAGCCAGCCTTGTACGCTCAAGACTCTGTGCAGACACAGCAGCTCTTAGGTTGTCCCATTTTCCTCAGTATCTTCAAACCACCGCTCTAAAAACATATCCTCACACCAACAGGAGCAGAGCCAGCAGCAATTCAGTGCTATTTCTCTTCCTCTCCCACTGCCTCCTCCACACAAGACTTCTGAGCCTGACTCCAGCAGCCTGGGCCCCAGAGATCTTATGCCCAACTTTGTGTGTCATTTATGTGCTCATCTTTTCTAGAAACATAAGTGTGTAGAGGATTAAGATGTTCAGTCAGCTTTAGTGGAAATCAGGCATCCAGATCCTTTAGCTGGGGAGCTAGACTCTGCCCATTTTGGGAAGAAGAAAATTACCAGGGAAACCAACTTCAATCTGTAATCAGGTTTTGTTTGATCAGATTTTAGTTTCACAATATGCCTTCCCCAGTCCTTTAATTATATCATAATCCTCTTGGCTGGGTCTCTGAGGCAAAAATAAAGGTGTGAAATGACTGTTGTGCCAAATGCAGTGACTGTTTGACCAGCAAAAAATATGCCTGTTATGCAAAGATATCTGCCAGTGTATTGGGTTTTCCACTGTTAGTAGCAGGAAATCTAATTGATTCATGGGGGTATCATACTCCCATGTGTCTCAGGGGAAAAATTTTTGAAACAAACTTTTATGCAAAAATTAAAATTGTTTAATGGTATTTGAAATCCCATGACAGTAACAAAGCTCTGCCCTTGAAATGCATGACCATCCACAACATCAATGCAAAAGAAAGTTAGTGTTTGCATTCCCAGTAATGAGTACATGCTGCTGGTTGGCCAGTGGCCAATACCCATCACCCATCAGCTGCACCCTTCTATCTAATTGCACATTCAGGATGAGGTCCTGGGACATCTGCCAACTGTCTGAATATTAGGTCTTGTCTGATTTTTAAGTCAGGCATCCTGGCTTTGAGAGGGAGTGACTGGGATTGCACATACAGCGGTTGGAGATGTGGCACTGCTTGAGCAGGAAGATGGCAAAGCTGAAGGATGAGAGAATGATTGTCAGAGGAAGCCCATACAGCCATGAGACTTTCTCCAGAGATGTTCAGCAGCCTGCGAGTGGAAGCAAATATTGGAGTGAGCACACCTCTTGGGCTAGGCTTGCTTCCACTGAGTGCTCAGACCCATCTCTGGGATAAAGATTCTTAGCCTTTGCTCAACTTCTACATTTAGCTGGAAACAGTGAGATCATTTTACAATAAAACCAAGCTTCTCCGTTCTTTGCTTCCCCAAACTTCTTGTTGTGGAATGTCAAGGTTTGTTTGAGAATCTGATGGGGAGGCCTTGGCTATGCCACAGGCTTGAAGTGCAAACATGGGTAAGTGATTTAAAGCTGCATTTTCAAAAGGCGCACTCCTTTAGATGCCCTGCTTCAGACACCCAGGGCTGTATTTTGAGACTGACTTCAGTCAGTGTGGGCGGTTCACAGATCTGAAGATAAAAAAAAAAGCTCTGTCAAATTTTGTTCCCAACTTTAGAGAAAAGAGTCTCAAAAATTTGGATCTTAACCGCTGCCTTGGTTTTCCCACCTATCGGCAGGGCTTAGATTGGATAGGACTAAGACATAATTCATTTTTGTAAAGGGTTTTGATTCTCTAGAAGGCGGATGTAAATACAGACTTTGATTTTTATTACTACAGTAAGTTTTTAATATGGGAGGTTAATGTAACTGACAATAAGGAATGTACAGTATGGTATGCCAGAGTTAAGATATCAATGAAATCATATTTGTGGGTATTGACATTTCTAAAGAGCTTGTACCTAGCTGATGGCAGAAATAGATTAAAAGATTAAATAAATAGAAACCTCTAATCTGTTGCCTAGACAGCAGTTAAGTAGAGCTGAGTAGCTGTTAGCTAATTTCCTAACTAGGATGGTTTCATTTTGAATATAAATACTTCAGATCAATATGCTAAACCCCATTGATTTTACTATTCTGATTCGTTTTCTAAAACCAGTAGTTAAGTTTACTTGTTAGGATTTGCAAATTTACTTTTACACTCCTTTCAAGCCAGTCACATTCAGCTTTGGCAAGTACCCTGCATTTTAGTACTTCCAAACAGCATTTAAGAAGTTAACACAGTAGAGTTGCCCACAGACACTCAAAGATGCCTTTGTCTACAGTATTAAACAGTCACTGAAGGCTGATGTGCAATTAATTTTGTATGGAGGGTATGATGGATAGTAAGTGTGGGAGTACAGGAAGAGAAGAGTGATAAAGATAAGGTAACATTGACTATTCATTCTCTCATCCTTCTGTAATATCTATTCCAAATTATCTGGGGTTTTGTACACAGCAAGAAGTGTACAGATCTGCTACTTTACAACTGTCTTGGAAAATTCTATTTACCAGTCAAATTCACTCCCCCTGAAGAGGGTAAATAGAATCTTGCAGGCCGTCTTAAGACACAGTCCCTGTTACATTTAGTACTTGTGTTAATTGTAGCAATTGTTGTAGACTTGTGGATGGAGAAACCAGTTTAGATAATATGAAAACATCATTATAAAGTTCTGGGCCTAGTATTTCTAGTGAACCTTTAAAGCAGAAATTGCTGATGTCTGACCAATAACTTCTGAATGCACTTCTCCTGTTAGATACTTTAGAAATGATTCCATCTGACATCAGTAAAACTGTAGCTCATACTATAAGATCCTATTCCAAGCTTTTTGTTTAAAACAAATGAGTCACTGCAGCACATCACTGGACTTTTCACTGTTACTTAAATTGTATTGGATTTTTTTTTTTGTAAGGCTTGGCCTAGAAAGAGGCGCAACAGCTAAAGAGGCCTTAGATGTAATAGTTTCTTTGTTGGAAGAGCATGGACAAGGTGGAAATTATTATGAAGATGGGAGCTCCTCCCATGCTTTCCAAAGTGCATTTCTGATTGTGGACAGAGCAGAAGCCTGGGTATTGGAGACTGTTGGGAAATATTGGGCAGCAGAAAAAATCACAGGTGAGTTTTAACTGGTGGCAAACTGGTTATCATAAGAAGGCTGCATAACATCTCTTCAAAGCTTGTTTTATTTATTCCCTTTCATTTGGGGTAAAGATATCAAGGGGTTATGAAGAGGTCTAATTGGAAAAGTCTAAATGGCTTGGATGTATCAAATCAGTCAAACAATGAAAAGCTGCATGATGTTGGTAGCAGCCTAGCTTCAGTCTAACCCATTAAGTGTCCTTCTTTTGTGTGGACAAATTGTCCTTCTGCAGTTATGCTATTTCTCCAGGCAAGGCTTGAAAGTTTACCAGACCCCTATGGGACAGAAGAATAATTTTTCTAGCCAGACATAGATACTAAAGACTGATGGAGGGGACTGTCCAGCAGTAATGCCCTGATGAGATACCCCAATTCCTGGGAAGTAGTAAGATACTGTTCCTGGACCCTGTTTATATTGACCCGTCTGGCTGATGTTAAGTGGTCTCATCTCTTATTTGAACCTCCTGGTTGCTGCAATTAGTGTGTCTGCGACTCTACCCTTCACCCGCCTTCTAAGTCATCCTTCCCACTAAATAGAATCAGAGGACTGGAAGGGACCTCGAGAGGTCATGTAGTCCAATTCCCTGCACTCATGGCAGGACTAAGTATTATCTAGAACACCCTGACAGGTGTTTGTCTAACCTGCTCTTTAAAATCTCCAATGATGGAAATTCCACAGCCTCCCTAGGCAATTTATTTCAGTGCTTAACCACCCTGACAGTTAGGAAGTTTTTACTAATGTCCAACCTAAACCTCCCTTGCTGCAATTTAAATCCATTGCTTCTTGTCCTATCCTCAGAGCTTAAGAACAATAATTTTTCCTCCCTCCTCCTTGTAACAACCCTGTAATAACTCCATTGCCTACATCAGCTGCTGCTCGTAGCTTTTCCCAGGCAGAAGCATGAAGTTATTCTTGTTTGTTTTCACTTCTGCTTTTCCAGATCCTATTAGTACCAGTGAAACTGACCAGTTTTCACACTCCTACCACTTGCAAAAGCTACCAGCAGCAGGAGAGGGAATGGAGGAGGAGCCTCTCTGCAGGTCTAGGAATGCGGCACTGCATTGTTTTACATTTATTTCCCATAGGAGGGTCTCTTTGCAACCATAACAGCTATTCTTGAGCTTTTCAGAGTAAAGCTTTACTACAAAAGTCACGGGCACTGGTATGCTACGCTAAGCAGGGAAGTTCGCTATTCACCGGTGCTTTATAGGACACTGGGTTTTTCAAACCTTGTCTCTAGAATCATTTGGTATATTGGGTCTTCTACATAATTTTGTTACACGGAACTTTTTTCCTTAAATGAAATTGCTTGATGAACTCTACTTATGATGAAGAATACTTTAATTATAAAGCTATCCAGGAAATAGACGTTTGTAAATGAATAATACTCATGCTATTGTCTTTGATAATAATACTCATGTCTATTGTTGCTGATCTGAATATAGCACTGACTTGAGTAATTCTGTCAATTTGAATCTACTGGAAAGAACAAAATTTAAATGTTTAATTGTTGTAATATTTAAAGGGGTGCTAATGGGTTTTTTTGCTTTGCTTGATAATAACATATTCCAGATGGTCAAATCAAAATTATTCCAATCTTACAGTCTCCTGAAAATGAACAGCTAAGAGATTAATGCCCTTTCATGGTACAATTTAAGTTTGAACGTGTGAAGCAGAACATACTGAAACCTTTCAGCCTGCCACTAACCCTTGGTTTCTGTAGTTGGTTTGTAGGCAGTAATGCGTATAGCAGCTTTTAACTTGGATTAGTAATCACTATTTCAAATTTTATTCAGTGGACATTAGAAAGGCAACTCTGATTCTATAACAATAGCTGCTAATGATGCTATTAAAGTAAAAATTTCATAAACCACTTTAGCCTGCCTATTAAAAATAAGTCTGCTACCTTCAATGTCAAGTTTTGTTTGGATAATGAGTATAGTTTAAACAATTATTTCCATTACTCATATGATGTGTTTACTGTATCCTCTGCTGAGTATCTGCAGTAGCAATCATTAGTCATGCTGTCTGATGTGTATGGATATAAACAATTCAGGCAGAATTTTTTTTTGGGAAAAAAGTCATACAATAGACAAACACATTGAAGTCTTATTATTTTCAATCCATATTATTGTCTTAACACCTAGAGAACCATGTTTTAAAAACAAGTCTTGTGCTCACAAAGACACTACATTAAATTTTTACAGAAGGATTTATAATTCAATATTGCATTTTAAATATTGAACATTTAAAAAAAAACACTTTAAACAAGTATTCCTATTTGATTGGAAACCAGATTATGAGTTATTCCACACGAGCTCTTCTTCTGCTGGTCTTTCAAATGATGCCCATTTTCGAACAAGAAACTTAAAATCACCGGTTTTAATTAGGTGACAGTTTCTGGGATAGAAAGTTATTTAGCAAATGTGTATAATGCTGTGTTGAGTAGTGGGATTAACTTTTTCTTCAAATAACACGTAATGCCGCACAGATCAACTCTGGGCTGAAGTACTATTGTGTCACTTCCTTTGGGTTGATTGTAATCATGTTGGATGAGCTAGTTAATGTGGTCTTGGGCAAAAGGTCAAGATCACTTCCAAACAAGTTTTTGAAAGTGAAATGTCATAACTTAGCTTCTGGAAATCTAAGAGCCTGATTCTCTACTGCTTTGCACCTTGTAGAATCTCTTCCACTGTGCAGAGGTGGTTGAAAATCATAGCATTCTGATACGGTAGCATTGTGCAATCACGTGGTGCAGGGATAAGTATCTAAACATGACACAAGATGCACTGGAGAATCAGGCCCTGAAACTTGAAGTGATGAGTAAATCCTGTGCCTGTGTAATTAGGTGACTATCACAAAGAAATGTCTAGATTGGTCAATGGCTTAGTTTGCTAATAAAATATTTTGCTCCTCTATCTGCTTCTAGCTACATTGTAGTAATGGTATATTGTGATTTGTGGCTCTTTTCATAGAGGGAGTAAAGTGCATTTGCAACCAGCTTTCATTAACCACAAAAATTGATGTTGAGCATCCTGAGCTTAGGAGTTATGCAGAGACTCAAGGCTGGTGGACTGGAGATACAGAATTCAATTTTTCTGAAGTGTTTTCTCTAGCTGAGGACCATTTAGGCTGCTGTTCAGGCCAGGAGAGCCTAGAAAAACAAGAAGGTAAGTAGAAAGGCTTTTTCCTTAGTGATTTTTCTTGCCACTTAATTCCCACTTTTCTCAACTAGACGTTAGGCCATAGTCTTAAGTGGGTACAAGGAGAGCACTTTCACATGGAAGGAAAATCCATAGAACAAATTGCCTCGAGCAAAACTCCTGCATGAAGTCTTAACGCCTCAGCCTAAATTTAGAAAAAGGCTATTTATCAAATCACACAGACTAGGATGGTGGAGTGTAAAGCTCTAAATTTTGTGGGTTCTTTTAGTCTTTTCATTGTAGGTTTGATACATGGGAATAAGAGTAATATCATACCGGTGCACCCCTGTTCTCCTAGCATGAAAAGATGACTTACCTTAGTAGAAAACAATGAGGGGGCATTGTGTTTTTCCAGAAGAATGTTCGTATCAGTCCTATTGTGAGGTGGGGAAGAGGCATTATCTAGCTGCCTGTGGAACCAAGCTATGGTTGCAAACTATGAGAATCGAGTTCTGTTACAGCAATGAAGATGCACTTAGGAAAGACTCCCCTCCCCCTGCCACTTCCCCTTTTCAGGCCAAACTGGATGTTTTTATTACCAGAGCATTTCAATAATCAAAATCTGCGATCAGCAGAAATGGGTTTATGTTCTGGTCCAGAATTTACTAATCACTTAAGATAGCTGGAGCTGGCCAGAACCCTTTTTGGAATTACTGCAGCATCTGCTGCTGTGCATGAGTAATGTGTAATCTTTGTTCAAGGCACATGCATGAGAAGTGTTGCCATTCTCTTTAAAAGCTCTATATTAAGGATGATTTGGGCATATTTGAAATGGTAACGAAATCTAGTTATTGTGCGACAGGAGACTGGATGAAAAACTTTTCACTGCAGTGCACAATGCTAGTAAGGGTGGTGTGGTCCAATGCCCACGACTCAAAGTAATTCTCAATCTGTAGGAGAGGGTCAGGAGGAGAAAGAAATAGAAACTAATTAGAGCACCTAGAAAAGTTGAGCTTGAAACAGAAAGCTGGTCTTAACCATAACTGTAGCAGAGCTGTCACTCTCTGCTATAATACAGTCTAGTTAAACATAGATAACTGCATCAAAAGCCACTGGAAACATTTGATGATCCATGTTATAGATTATCTTTACCACGCCTAGAGCTGTGAAGCTTGTCTCTACACTTCCAATCCATTAGACATGATGGGCCAAATTCACACTTGGGTCTGTGAATGGAGACATTTACAGTGGCAAAAAGTCCATCAGTTAGAGGGTTGAGGCAGTGCAAGGCAGCTGTAATCTGTTCTAGTATGTTTCAGGGTTTAAGTTTTGTAAATACAAGCTGTTAATAGTGGTGGGGGTATGTTCCCACCTATATGCTGTGGCACTGTTTGCGCTGGGCCTGATGCAATGCCCATTGAAGTAAAAGTACTTTCCTTTGAATTTGGTGGGATGTGGATCAGGCCCATTGGGCACCTTTTTCCCCTTCTTGCAGGAAATATCACTGTGCAAACAATGATGGATGTCTTGCGTGACAAAGGTAGTGGTGTCTGCGTGGACTCCGAAACTTTCCTCACTACAGCTAGCATAGTGTCTGTTTTGCCTCAGAACCCTAGTTCTCCCTGTATTCACTACTTCACTGGCACTCCGGACCCTTCAAGGTAAGTCAGGGTGCCTGCTGCCCTTCTGAGACTTAGTGATGCAGGCTTTAATAAGGAGATTCTGGCTGTGTGTATGTACATTGAAAGCTATTAAATCTGATTTTAGTGACAGATTTAGGGCCCCCTTGTGACTGGCTTTGCATGGGTGAACAAAGAGGGAGAGGTTGCATATAACTTTCCTTCCCCTTCATCATGTTCCTTCACAGAGGTGTGCTGCAATTCCTGTCTATGCTCACCACACAAGGACTATGTTCTATGTCAGAAGATTCAGCACTCCTGCCCATCGTCTTCCCATACACCCTTTGGATCACGCCTTTGTTTTCAGGACATGGATTTCTCTCTGAATGCAGTTTAAGTAGAAATCCCAGTAAATACCTATGGTACTAGGACAAAAAAAACAATAACACATTTTGTTAATCTTGGTGTAAAGATCAGTAGCTCGCTAACATTCCATGCATTAGGTCTTACACGTAAATCCTACTATGGTATTTTAACTTGTTCAGAGTGCTGGCTTTGGTAATTGAAAAATAGTTCACCATCGAGGCAAGTTCTTTTAAATGAAACATTCTTTTCTTCTGTTCCATTTCACTTAAGGAGGATATCAGCAGAAAGTAGTAAAATTAATGTAAATTCAATTTAATTTCTTAAATTTTAATCTTAAGAAGGAGAATAATTCTTCTCACAGTGTGTCATATTATAATGGCTGAGCATGTACTGTAAGAGGCTTAGTGATACTCCATTGTTCTGGCCTTTTTATTTCTAGTGTTGCCAAAATAAGTTTGAACAAATTTGTCCAAACCTCATTCTTAAACTACAGAAATGAACACAATAAAAAAAAATGTTTAGTTATCTTAATTCAACTTTAGGGAATAATGTGGCAGATCTAAGAAGTTGCAATCTCTGCTTAGTCACCCAAAACCAACACGGGAAAAAGTTTTAGTTTTTCAGTTTTTATACAAAGTGTTACAAAAATAATATTATTGTGAGTGAGTAATATTGTGCATGTAGCATTTAAAGCATTTCTGATTTGCAGTTTTGATGTATTGGGATTTAATGTAAAAAAACCAAGCACTTGAACATATTCTTGTTGCTAACTAGTTTTCTGACAATCTGTGCTGCATCTAGGTTGTATCATGTTTAATATAAAGTTGTGGTGAAACTGGTCTTGGAATTTTCATGGTTCTTGTACTTAATTATGTCAAAAGACTTATCTTTAATAAAACAAACAAACACAAAGACCTGATACAAAATTCATTAAGTCTTCCATTGACAATGGGCTTTAGATCAGGGTGTAAATCCCTCAATAAAAGGACAAGTACGGTACTGATGCCTATACTTCAAAATAGACTCTTGAAAACCAAAACGACTTTTTGCTACTAGTCACTTTCCTAATTCTCCCCATTTCCTTTTGTTAATCTATGAACCCACAATGGTTAGTTCCAGTAACTTTTAGGACAGAGTTAAAGGGCAGTTTCAACCTTGACTCAGATTTTGTTTCATAGGTTCAAATCTGATTCTTTAAAACAGGTAAGGTGATCCCTTTGTCCCTTCCTCACCCAAGCTTTTGTGGTAGTATAAAAAACACTTCCTGTCAGAGTAGATGAGTCTGACACAGTCATGACTGGTTACTAACATTTTGCTTTACATTAGAACACAACATAAGAAACACATTCAACAGACAGAGCCTTTACGTGCATCCTAGAAGCCTTGTTGGAACACCTAAGTGCTATGTGATTTAAATGTAGTTTATTGCAATTTAAAATGGAAGCTATCAGAGTTGAAAAGCCAGTGATCACTTACGCTTAAAAAACAAAACAAAAAAACCCCAAATCACATTTACATGAAACATGCTAGATCATTTTGACATCACAGCTGTTCTGCTCCCACCCCTACTCTGTTTGTTGGGCCTAGTGGTGCGGTTTGATTCTGTATCCTGTGACTGGCAGGGAGAGTAAAAGATTTGACACACTAACCTGTACCTACTGTCCAGACCATGATTAAAAGAACACACACGTCTGAGTACTACATATACAGTGTGTAAACTTCAAAGAAGGAGGGAACTGCTTAGGGTGGCCTAAGTGGCGACTGCCCTGCATAAAATTACCATACCATGGTAAAAGAAAAGAAAAGTTATGATGAATAGCAGGAAACATTTTTACGTAAAGGTTTATTGTAACATCCTCTCGAGAAGAAATAACCTCCCCTCCCCCCGTTACTTAAATCTGGACAGGACAGAGTACTGGGGAATACTATAGGGAACAACCCATGGCCTAACAAGTCTCTCTCACCATGAACTGTGAATCCCAGCTTGGGTTGCTCAGCATTGTTTTTTAAACTAAACCACATGCAACTTAAGAAAATGTTTGCCACTTACTGTATATTGGAGAAATGATGCCGATCTGACTATCCCCTTGGACAACCAAAGGTCACTACAGTCAGATGACTATTAGTTGTCTTAGAAATCATAGAAATGTAGGCCAGGAAGGGACTTTGAGAGGTCATCTTGTCTCCCCCCCCGCCATGCTGAGGCAGGATTAAGTAAACCAAGACCATCCCTGAGAGGTGTTTGTCTAACAACGTCTTAAAAACCTTCAGTGATGGGGATTTCACAACCAGTGTTTAACTATCTTTCTAATTAGAAAGTTTTACCTAATATCTAACCTAATTCACTCTTGCTGTAAATTAAACAAATTACTTCTTGTCCTACCCTCATGGACACGGAGAACCATTGATCACCATCCTCTTTGTAACAACCATTTACCTATTTGAAGACTCCCCCTTCAGCCTCTCCTCTGCATAAATATGCCCAGTTCTTTCAACGTTTCCTCATCGGTGATGTTTTCTAAATCTTGTGTCACTTTTGTTGCTCTCCTTTGGACTCTTTCTCCCATTTGTCCACATCTTAGTGTGGTGCCCAGAACTGTACACACTACTCCAGCTGAGGCCTCACCAATGCTGAATAAAGCAGGACAATTACTTCCTGTGCCTTACATGGTAATATATCCTAGAATGGCATTTGCCTTTTTCCACAACACTGACTCATTCAGTTTGTGATCCGCCATAACTCCCAGATTCTCTTCTGCAGTACTACGGCCTAGCCAGTTATTCCCTGTTTTGTAGTTGTGCATTTGATTTTTCCTTCCTAAGGGCTGTATTTTATACTTGTCTTTATTGAATTTCAGCTCATTGATTTCAGTTCTTCAATTTGTCAGTCATTTTGAATTCAAATCCTGTTCTTCAAAGTGCTTGGAACCCTTCCCAACTTGATGTTGCCCACAAGTTTTATAAGTATATTCTTAACTCCATCATCCAAGTCATTAATGAAAATACAGAATATTCCCAAGCCAGGACAGACCATTCTGGGATTCCACTTGATAAGTGCTCCCAGCTTGTAGCAAACCATTGATAACTACTCTGAATACTGTCTTTCAACTTGTTGTGTACCCACCTTACAGCTAATTTCATAGTTCTTATAGTCTTCTCAAAGACTATCATGTGGGGTTCTGTGAAAAACTTTACTAAAGTCCAGGTATAGCACATCTACTGATTCTTCCTTCCCTCCCCCCATCCACTGGGCTGTTTACTCTGTCAAAGAAGGAAATTAAATTAGTTTGGCATGATTTGTTCTTGACAAATCCTTGTTGGCTGTTACTTATCTTACTATCCTCTAGGTTTGAACAAATTGATTGCTTAATAATTTGTTCCAGTATCTTTCCATTTATAGAAGCTAGGCTGATTGGTCTATATCATTCCCCAGGTCCCCCTCATTCCCCTTGTTAAAGGTAGGTACTGCATTTTTCCTTCTCCAGTCCTCTGGGACCTCACCCATTCTCCATACGTTCTCAAAGACGGTTGCGTTGGCTACTTCCTTAAGTACTCTATGTGACTAAAGTGCTTCCAAAGGGGTTCCTTAGTGCTGAAGGGAGTTTCATCCTTCACCTGGGAACTCAAGTCTTCATTGGACTCTGAGCAAGGCAGTAGGTAGGCTGGCTTCTCCAAACTACTCTTTACCTTACCCAGGCCCATTGCTCTCCCATCTGTGTCACATAAAGGCTGCAGCAAGGCTTTCAACACCCGTTGGGATTCCTTTTCCTTCCAGAGCAAAGCTACAGCCTCTAGCCTGGCGGCAAACAGACAGACTTGCAGAGGTGCTTCCCTCTCCCCATCACAAGTGCCTGGACAGTTTGTTTAGTTGCGGGTTCTTAGAGCATTGACCCAAACTGTAAACCCCTGTATATAATGGAAACCACTTACAGCCAAGGGGTGCAGCAGCACCCTATGCTCCCCATAAAGCAAATAAAGCAAGGTTTGTACACAAGACATTAAGAAAAACAGCCACACCAGAGTTCCTGCTTCTCTGTGAGTTAAAACTTTTCTAGATGAGCTATAATCAAATATAATAAAAACTCACTCACAGCTCTGTCAGTGCTTCTTTGTGAAGAGAAAAGCTGTCCTACTCTGGTCATGCCAGCCTGCTTCCTCACTCCCTGAAAACCCCTGCCAGCTGATTGTCTTCCTTATAAATAAATAAGGGCTGAGTTTCGGGGAGGCTAATGAGCCTCAGGTGCATCTGAACTCTCTGTCTGAACTTTGTCTCCGGGAGTCACAAGGCTTTTCTTCTCATCCACGCTCCCCATTGTCCCAGGCCCCAATAGGAAACCACGACAAAATGAATGTATGTTAGTCTCAGTGCAGTTCATTGGGCAAGCATCCTCCTCACAAAACCCCCAACATAAGGCACTGGGCAGGTGGGGTGGTCTATCATCTTGTCTAATTGGTACTCTCATTGGCCGTTTCTGCAGATGCCAATAATTCAGTGAGCTTGGAGACCGAACTGTCTCCCTTAGCAGTGGTCATTGTAGTTTAAGACTGAGCTGAATTGTTGGGACAGTATGTGCTGCTCCTGCTTCTGCTGTTCTGAGAGCATTTCCATCTCCATGGCTGTCAATCAGGGACAATAGGTGCAACTAGAATACAAATAAAGAATAACAGCCCATCTCTGTATGCTACTGTCACTTCTGCTTTACATGCCTTCTCTTAAAAAAATCTGTAATAAAAGACATGTCTTGCCCCAGTCTGTTTGGGTCAGAATCTTTTGATGGCAGGGCTTCTCAAGAGTGATGGATAGAGCAGCAGTGATAGACTTCAGTTTCCTGCTCTATCATTAGTTTTCAAACTTCTTTTCAAAAGTCTCTCACCTTTTGGCATGCTCCTTTACACTGGCTGTAGGGCATTGCCTTAAAAAACAATTTATTAAAAGTATTTTCTCTTGTGTTCCTAACCAAGAGGTTAGATCTAGATTTTAGGTATGAAATTCCCTTAGGTTAGGGACAGGTTTCAAATGTATTTTGAGCTCCCATTTAATTCCAGATTCAAGTACTTTGTTTGATGAAAAGTATTACAGTATTTTCTGTGTAACCATTTCCTTATCCTTTCCTTGACTTCCCAGTTCGGACACTGGTGGTCAATGCCAAATCTTCAGAGATACTTAGTAGGTTGTGTAATAACTGGCCAAAAATCTTCCTCTAGCCCTCATAAGTGGATGGCTTTAAATATATCCACCTTCAGTTTGTTTCAGCAAAGAAATTCTGAACTGAGTGCAGGACTTAAGACGTATATTGTGTGAAGAGCTTTATTGATGTATAAATTGCTGCTGTGTAAATGTAGGAGAACTGGGAAGTTTTAGGTTGGGAGACTGGTTCTGAGCCAGTTAATTTCTTTGAAAACTCTAAGCACAGCTCCCACAGACTACTTAAAGTGTGGGATGAGAGAACATGAAGGAAAAAAGAAAGCAAGAGAGTAGTATGGGGATAAACATTGGGATTTAAAGATGATCAAAACATTTACCCTCTTCTCCCTCCCCCCCCCCACACAAAAAAAATCAGAGGAAGGAAGCTCAATGCTGTAATTCACAGAAATGGGGAAACTGACATGGAGCGGGGAAAGCGAGGTTAATATGTAAAACTTTGCAGGACCCAGTGTTTTTGAAAGTAAATGGATTTTTCTTGTGGCATGTTTTCCTATATTAGAAGAGGTTATTTTTGTGCCATATCTGACCCCATCCTGCCACAGTAATATAGATATGCACATGCAATACTGTTCAATGAGTCTCTGTTGGCAAAGTAGCCTGGCAAAGTAGAACGTCACTGTGAATAAGGTTCTCATCTCTTTCAGGTCCATATTTAAACCTTTCATCTTCGTTGATGATGTCAAACTAGTACCAAAAGTTCAATCGCCTTTTCTTGGTGATGACGATCCTGTAAAAAAGAAACCTCGGTTCCAGGAGAGGCCTGACCGGAGACACGAACTGTACAAGGCACATGAGCGGACCCGATCTGTCACTGAGAATGATCAGGTAAAGCCTCTAGGACTTGGAGCCTTTAGAGACAGGTTTTTTTCTTAAGACTAATACACCCGGGATCTAAACTGCTGACTGTGTGAAGAAAAGTTTTGAATGTTTGCATGACTTACGCTTCATTCTTTCTAGAAAAATTTCTGTAAAATCTTTTTCCACAGAAACCTTTAAATCTAATTAAAAGAAAATAAGTGGGTTCCTCCCCCTAAAAATCTGAATAGAGACTTAGAAGTTAAAATGGAGGAGTGAACACTTTAGTCATGGTTGGTTGCATTCTTTTCATATTAATTTTTGTAAACATGGAACTAAAAAAAAAATTCCCACTAGATGTTGGCAGAGTTCATTATTCAGACTCTCAGCTTATAGAATGTTAAGACTATAAAAGTTGTCTGCTTCTGTCTAGGGCTCATTCGTGGTGGGTTTTTTTTTCTTTAAGTGCTGCATTATTGAACACTATCAAAGTTTAGAGAATGTTTACAAAAACCTGACAGGTCACCCAAGTTGCCCCTTAAAAAGAATCAAAGGGAAACTTACAAGAGCCTGCAAAACTCATGTAAAATCCCTCAAACTTTCAAAGGCTATCATTGTACATATGTGACATGCGGGGCACAATCCAGACCAGTGGGGGGCTGTGTCACCTCTGCCTTGCAACCTTGTGTACCTTACAATGCCTTGCTGATGTAGCTCCCACCTGGGCTGCTCACAAAGAGATTTCCAGCATGCAAGCCACATCCTGTCTGTGTGTAACTGCAGCCTGCCAACTATACCCGGGCTCTCACCAGCCTGGGTTATACTGCAGGGTGACCACAACACATTCCCTGGGAGTGGGGGAGGGGGAAAGCTGATGGGGGGCCGCTGACGTATTACTGTCGCTCTTCGGCAATGTACATTGGTAAATTCTGGCTCCTTCTCAGGCTCAGGTTGGCCATGCCTGAATTAAATCAATAATCTGCCATTTTGGCAAACTATGTACAGGAGGGTTGATGACTCCTCCCTCCCATTTCATCAGCAGCACAACCAGGTAAATACAATGGCTCCACCAAACGCCATACATCATGAAAAACCATCCTACTTATTATATCTTCTCCTAGTGCATCTCATTCGTTAAGGGAATGAAACAAGATCTAGTTCATTTTTTTTCTACAAGATTCATTAGACACATGCCTTCTGATTCTTGAGCTAATAAAGGAAAAGACTGTTCATAGTGTGTTCTTCAGAGGAAAGGACTATCGAAAATCCTCTTTTAACACAGTGCCACCCTAAAACTAACCCCATCCCACCCTAGTTCTGTACCTTTAAATGATGGTATTTTCTCTCTGAAAAGTTATGTTTTTCTTTACACAAAGGCCTAAGCCCAAAAAGCAAACAGACCAGCCTATTCCTGTTTAAAACTTTCTGGCCTCAACCTGTTAGTTTTCTGCTGTCAGCTGGAGAGTCACATAGATTCACAATCAGAAAAGCCTAGCAGACCTATGGTGGTGATGGAAGTAACTGCTACATAAGATGACTTGAAGGCTTCTTCAGTAAATATAGATGGTAAAGTTTAACTTACCCATGTTTAAATTTTTTTAAAAATGGCGGTAGTGGATTTGGAAAATTAATTTGAGGCCAACCTTCAAATCATGGAGAATAAATAGGAAAGTCTGGCTGAGTCAGCACACTCTGTATGAAAAGTATTCAATGTTCTCATGTGAAATTTTAGAACACCCTTAAGAGCAAATATAAAATTAACCAGGGCCCATGATGCTGAAACTTTGGATTCTTGATACTCTGAAGCTTAGCATAAGTGACTCTGTCCTTTTGGGGAAGACCTATAGAGCACCAATAAGAGAACCTGCAAAAGCCACAGCAACCCTTACTGCTAAAAATGTTCCTCCTTAGAGTGAGAATCTTGTTTGCAGCTTCCAGAATCAGTGAAATAGTCCACAAAGACAGAAATGGCATTTTCTTTTCAAGGAGTCGGTTCCAAAACACACAGAGCAGTCCTGCTACTTGCTGCAACCATTCACAGAGACTGAAGTAGAAAGTGCACTTTTATGCTAAAAACTAGCTGAAGCAATATATTTTCTGGAGAGGACTTTCTACATAGAAACTGTTGAAAAGCAGCAGCCTAGTAAATAGGGTGACCAGACAGCAGATGTGAAAAATCGGGACAGGGGTGGGGGGTAATAGGAGCCTATATAAGAAAAAGACCCAAAAATCGGGACTGTCCCTATAAAATCGGGACATCTGGTCACCCTACTAGTAAACCTTGCAGCGTCTGATAGAGACGCAGCCCCTATTCCGGGTTGGAATCTCTCTTCTCTGTAACTTAGACGTAACATTTCATCTGTCTTTCACTTTGATGCTGTTTGACTGTACAGAGGTTAAAAGGTAAAAGGGCAAACTCATTAATTTTAACCCTGTGACTAAAGCTAGAGTAAAGAGGGTGATGTTCTGAGGGATACTGTTCTACATTCTGTTCTCTGTATCAGTGCCTGTTTTTGGAAAATCCTTCCAGGAACCCCTCGGTGACTTGCAGTGTTTTTGTTGTTAATGAATTTCCAGACTTGAGATGAATCAAATAAACTCTTTTTTTTCTCATAGTTATACAAGTTTTATCCCCCACTCTCAAGCTGTGCACAATCTTTAAAGTTCTTATTTCTTTTGAATTTACTACTCACTATTTTACTAGTGTTGTTTCTTGATTACTCGTCTCTATTGTTTGTTCTGCATGTTAAATGATAGACCATTGTTTTCATTTTTGCTTAGGGTTCTACCACACTAACACAGAAGAAAAAAAATCAGTATGGGATGTGTGTGTGTGTGAAGGAATGGGACGTTTTCAAATAGTGTGACAGTGCCCCCACAGCAGAGAGGAGTAGTAAAAAGTCACCTGAATTTGTTTAATGGGTACTTTAACTTGGCTGTTTCTTGCCTTTAGGATAAAGGTCAGAAGCTGATGAGGATTATGTTAGACCTTGAAAGACAAGGCTTAGAAGCTATGGAGGACATCCTCACCAGTACAGAGGTTCTGGATCCTGCTGAAGTAGTAGACCTTTTCTATGACTGTGTCGATACAGAAATTAAGTTCTTCAAGTGAAGTAAGCAAATGTTTTAATACTTTGATTTAGAAACTGCTAAGCTGTCAGAAAAGCAGCTCATCTGCATATGTATAAATAAGATGTATAAATGCAAGACTTAGTCTGATTCAGATTGTGCTGGTATAACTTCAGTGGTGTTACTCCTGGTTTACACCACTTTAAATGATTGTAGAATCAGGCCTCCATTATCTTTATGTCCCTTTTGATACCTCTCTGAATGGATTGTCTCAAAAATCTTTTTCCTTTATACAATGTTATAGCCTCTCTGAGTTTTCCATTTGATTGTTGCTGTATGTGGATTTTAAACCACTGTTATCTCATTTCAGCCACAGTGGACACCATTAGCCTTTTCACAAGAAGACTCTATAGTTCTTCGAGCCTTGAAAGATAGTCTCCAATCCACACAGCTGAATTTGCAGGAGGAAAACAAACAAACAAAAAGGCTTCTGTCTTTCTAGAAAAATGTTCCTCAGTAGCTATATCGAGTTAACAAAATTGCTTTCCTTTGTCCAATCATGTGGTGGTCCTGTTGTGTGTGTAGTGAAAGGAGAGAGTCACTGATTGGCCCGTGTGTGCATGCCAGCTAATGTAGTGCAGAATGTTTCATTGTTTGGGCAACAAAAAATTAAAACAAGGAATAACTTCATTCCAGTGTAATTTCCATATAATCTTTTAAAGCAAACAAATGTTTTTGTTTTATTTCCCCCTGTATAGCTCAGGCTAGGTAGCAAAGCTCAAATGCTTAGAATTTCACCAGGTACATGTATGCTTACCACTTCACATTGGAAGCTACAGAGGTTTTAAAAACAAAAGCAGCAGCACCTGACAGTCTGAATTACAGATAAGGCCTGGTTCTGAGCTTGCTTGTGTAACTCTGTTGGCTGCAATGGAGCCACTCTGACTTATGCCAGAACACATGAGCAGAATTATGCCCTCGGGACTCAGTGCTGCCCTCACCTATTCATACCTTGGAAAAACAACGATTGCACTTGTGATGCCTGGTAGTTTTTTTTTTTTCCCTTTCCCTAAAATTCATAGTACTGTGTATTGCAGGCAGAATCAAACTGAGTGCCTAGTATATTATATAATCAAATGACTTCAAGGCAGCATTGATAGACACATCAATGCAGTGACAACTCAGTCAGAACACTTTTTTTGTTAGAATAGAGGCTGGGCATTGAAGATCAAATTAGGGACAGTAGTCTGGCTGTGGGACCATATTGCCGTATGAAAGACAATTCTGTGAGATCTCCAAATGGTATATGCTGTTTACAGCCGGAGGAAATCTTCAATTATTTAGTACAAGAAAAAGGAAGTGATTGTGACTGAGTTGTTGCCTACTCCTTGCAAGGCACAAATTCACAGTGAAGCTATGATCTGAATGTTACTCCTTTACAATCTGCAGAGAGGAGGATACAAATGGTTTATTTGCAGTTTTTCATCAGCACACCATTTTACCCTCTAGATTCATATTTGGATTTATGTGACTTCAGTGATTATCTACTTTTCGTGTGCTCTTGCCCTAACTCCTTTACTTTAAGAAGAGCATTGATCAAGGGAACCTTCTTAACTCATGACACAAGGGACAATATTAGAGCTGGGTGGGGACAAGGTGTTAATTCCCACCCATTGAAATATTGCAGCAGCATCAACAAAAAAGTTTTTCTTTTGGAGGGAGGTTGATGATTGAGAAGAGAAGCCCCCACTGAGGAACTGAAGTTTCTCAGAAGGGGAGCATCAATTTACCACTCTTTTGACACAGACAGTGTGTTTGGGGCTGCACCCAACCCCTACAAAATACTTAGCCCTCAGCTGCTTGGAATCAGAGTTAAACATCTTACAAACACAGTTTAAGGAAGTTTTTACTAATGCTTCATCTGCCACTTCCAGCTATAAATCCATTCAGCAGACACTTAAGTCTATATTTATGCTGTGGCTACACAAACCATATACAGCCATAAAATTATCCATTTCAGTTTACTTGCTTTCTATTAAAGTCCTGTAGTGGCTTTATCAGCTCTCCTCAAACAACAGTATCAATCC